ATTCCTCAATCAAATCATGTATTCATTCATTCACACGTCTATGCATGTGAATTAATATGCATATCAATCAATTAATCATGTAACAAATTATGTAATGTATTCAATAATTAAAAAAAAATATCTTAAATAGAGAAGTATACCACTGGACCTTTCTAGTGCATCTCTCACTTCTTGCTAACTCAAGTTATACACTCTTGGTTGTACATTGTTGATTGTGTGGGCTACCTCTGACTCCCGCTCACATTCTCATTCCTAATGGTAATCCTACCCATAGAACCTTGACTAAACATTCTGGATCTCACTACAAGTCTCTATCCATATCCCTGCCAATTTTGGTCTATCATAAATCTAGATATCTCTCCAAATCCTTTTTATGGGTAATCTATCATCATGTGTCCGTACTAACCACTTCTAAAAAAATTATCTTGCTATCAAGTAATATTGCCCTGCATGCCTCTCGCCACATCGAGGGCACATATGTACACTACAAGCTGTTATCATTGGTCCTTTCTTGACGCGAGCAAATCTACTTTTATTTTCACTACTTTTCCTCTTGCCATCTCTTCACTTGCTCTCTTTTTATTCATGTTCTGTAAGAATTGGGGAATAATCAAATCAATTTCTACTAATCTAGTTCTCTCTAATAACTCTGAAAACTCATGAATTCTCAATGGTATAAGTGAGTGTCTCAACTCATCCTTCAACCCTCTTAGAAACATGTACATTTCTCTTCAGTAACATTAATCAATTGATGTGCATGCCTGACCAGTATAATAAACTTACCTTTGTATTACATCAATGTTATATTTCCTTATTTCAATCTCATAAAGCTTCCTTCATTTATTGGCATACTGATGGAGGTATGAATCAATATTTGATGACACTCATGAACTCCTCATAGGTGATCAATGAGTTTAACCTATCCTAAAAGTTTTCTCTCTATTATCCTATCCATCATCTCTCAACTTCTCCTTCAAATAAAAATATTATCAATGATACTTTCTTTTTCTCAAGATATTGCATAGTATCAAAAATCTTCTTATCCTCAGTAAATAATCTTCTACTTCCTATGGATTTATACCTCCCTTGAATATTGGGGGTTTCAATTTGTGAAACATTTGTAAGTTCTTATCCTCTTCAATCTCCTTGCTCCTAAACTACTTGTTCTATGCATTAGTCATTAACTAAGCTATCAAATTAGTGAACTATATTATGCAATTAGAACTCACTCAGTTATTGTACTTTGTTCATTTGGGTACTCCATTACCAAATGAATTCATTGCACTTAGTATAGTTCTCTTTCCTAATAAGTTATAATTTAATAATACATATGCATGGTATGAATTACAAAAGAATATAAATCTTAACACTACCCATTCTACCCATTTCAATCATTTTTATAGCATTAGTTGTAATTCAATTTTTTCAATAACCTTCATTTTGATATCAACTATCATGGTCCTAGATCAAATTTTTAAAAAAATATTTATTTTAACATCTTAATTAATTTATAAAAGTCACTAATCTTATTTTTTAATAACTAGAAACTAATGGAAGCTGCTATAAATTGTATGCATCAAAACATTTCTACATTCATTCATCAAAATTGTATATATAATAACTAAGAGATTAATCACTACACATCAGCCTATCTCTTTCTACTTCTTACTATAAAGTAATGAACCAAAATATAAAAAATAAAAGAAAATTAAGAAAAGTCATATCTATCTTACTCCATTATATCATGACCTCTTCCTGAAAATATATAAAAATCATAAAGTGAGTTAATAACTCAAAAGATTACCAGACCCTACAAATGTAATCAATGTAAGGCAATAGAAGTAGTATGCATGTAATCATCTGATTAATATCAGTATAAATATATAATTGTAAAAGCATGTCACAATCAATGAGCATAGTGTCATCTCATATGAGCAATAAAAATTAATATAATTATTGCAATTCATAATCAATTATCAGTAGTCATATAAAGGTTCAATAGATTTTGTCATTTCCTATACCCATTAGTTACAAAATAATTTATATTTTATTTTATATAAATCACTACACTTATAATTGATTGAATATTCATTATATTACACACACACACACACATATGTATATATATCATTATTTTTATCAAATAAAATGTATCAAGTATTAATCTTTTCAGTCATATCAATCTTATTTACGGTGTCATATGCTAGTATATATATGCATATCATATGCAATGAATATCACATATATCATATAGTTCATGTATATCATGTGTCATTATATTGCTCTTATCAATCATATTGTATACATGTATCTGTCATTTCCTGTATACTCTACCTATCTTATCATATCATGTCACTTTGACGATTTATTATATATCCTCATGTCATATGCATTTACAAACAAGATAGAACAACTAGCTATCTTTGGTATTTTTTCTATGTCATGTCATGTAGGCCAATCCTATAAGCATCAGCCTCAAGCATATCAGGTTTATTGCTAAGAATCAATTTCATATCATATATCACAAGTAACGAATCAGGTGGCTTTTATTTAAAAAGTTGTTACATCCTGTCCTTCATCGTATCATATAATATACGTTAGTCTCCTTATAACTCCCATTTTCATAACACTAAGAATTATACTATAAATCTTATTTAAAAGAAAGACTCTCGGCTCACCCTCCTATATAGTGTAACTTATTTTCAGCCAACATAAATTAGTCAAACATTTCCAGCTCGCTTTCTTACATTTAAGCATATTTCATATTATATTGATCATAATATTAAACATCGTATACAATAAAGATAATTATCATTATGCTCATAAGATTACCAGACCCTACAACTATAATAAATGTAAGGCAATAGAAGTAGTATGCATGTAATCATTTGATTAATATCAGTACAAATATATAATTGTAAAAGCATGTCACAATCAATGAGCATAGTGTCATCTCATATGAGCAATAAAAATTAATATAATTATTGCAATTCATAATCAATTATCAGTAGTCATATAAAGGTTCAATAGATTTTGTCATTTCCTATACCCATTAGTTACAAAATAATTTATATTTTATTTTATATAAATCACTACACTTATAATTGATTGAATATTCATTATATTACACACACACACACACATATGTATATATATCATTATTTTTATCAAATAAAATATATCAAGTATTAGTCTTCTCAGTCATATCAATCTTATTTATGGTGTCATATGCTGGTATATATATGCATATCATATGCAATGAATATCACATATATCATATAGTTCATGTATATCATGTGACGTTATATTGCTCTTATCAGTCATATTGTATACATGTATCTACCATTTCATGTATACTCTACCTATCTTATCATATCATGTCACTTTGATGATTTATTATATATCCTCATGTCATATGCATTTACAAACAAGATAGGACAACTAGCTATCTTTGGTATTTTTTCTATGTCATGTCATGTAGGCTAATCCTATAAGCATCAATCTCAATCATATCAGTTTTATTGCTAAGAATCGGTTTCATATCATATATCACAAGTAACCAATCAGATGGCTTTTATGTAAGAAGTCGTTACTTCCTGCCCTTCGTCGTATCATATAATATACGTTAGTCTCCTTATACCTTCCATTTTCAAATCACTAAGAATTATACTATAAATCTTATTTAAAAGAAAGTCTGTCGGCTAACCCTCCTATATAGTGTAACTTGTTTCCAGCCAACATAAATTAGTCAAATATTTCCAGCTCGCTTTCTTACATTTACACACATTTCATATTATATTGTTCATAATATTAAACATCATATACAATAAAGGTAATTATCATTATGCTCATCAGTAAGCTTGTAATATGTCAAAAATGCATGTTTGACTAAATGAATAGTAAATGTATACATAGCATATATATATCATGTCCAAATGTAATATACTGACTCTTAGTCATTTTATTCTCAATATTATACTATTTGTTTCATTTAAAATTGCATATTAACAAAACAACCCGATAAAATTTTAATATTAACAAGTCAAAATGCTCAGAATAACGATATATATTACATATCAAAATTTATGTAAAAAAAAAATCATTAAAGTTAGATATATTACATTTTTATCAATTTTATGAGGGAGGAAAATAGGTAAAACAGAACATTATTGAAAACAAAGGTAGAGTTAAGGTTACCTATCAAGATTGAAACACTATTCCCAACTCGAGTGATAAAAAATAAAGGCTTGAACCTCGCTTCTCTCTCCTCCTCCTTTCTTCTTTTCACTACATTTCTCTCTCTTCCTTCACGAGGAAAAAATAAATAAAAGGGGGATGGGAGTGAGGTGAGGTTTTATTAATAATGATTTTAGATATTTTCATTTAAAAAAAAAAAATTAGACCTGGCATCACAGTGGTCTAGACTTAGCACCACAGTGCTTCCTGTTAGAGAGCACTACGCCATAGTGCCCAACTCCAGTGCCACGATGATAGTTAATTTTTCACAATTTGTTGGAAAGCTCAATACCATAGCGTTGTCCACCCAGCGTTGTGGTGATTGGCTAACCAAATTCAAGAATTTAGGGGAAGTCAATTCGAGGTTATTATAACAATCCCACCACTAGATCTATTAATATTAAAATTGCAGTCCATGTATTTGATTTTAGAACTACTCAAATGAAAACCTTTAGACTTAAGGTTGACATGTATAATTTGAGATTTTCATCAAGTCCCCCTCTAGCCTTATCAACAAAAAGAATATCATAAGCAAAAAGCATGCACCAAAGTACATCCTCTTACAAATGTTTTGTAAGAACATCCATGACTAATTAAAGTAAAAAAATATATATATAGGCATAAAGTTGATATATATGGGCAAAAAAGAATATCTTTCGTATAAAGTTGGAACCAACCAGTCTGAAACTTTTGCATTGCACCAGTTTTCTGTAGAAGTTATGTTATGAAACATAGTAAGTATAAATTTAATGAACGAAAAAACAGATTAAGAAGCTCCAAGCTGATCATATATGCCCAGAAGTGAATTATACAAGAAACACATAACTATTAAAAAAGCATCGTTTGGGTTCTCAAGCACAGAACATTCACAGAGCACAATATTATCAAACTGGGTATTTCATATGGTTCAGAATACAAAAGCTGACTAAGGAGAAATAGATTGTCGGATAGAAAACATTTTTATTTATTAGACTAATGAAATTAGGCTAATCATACTTGTCATTATCAGATTTAAAGGAGGCTTTATGAGTGGGAAATCGAGAAGCAGAATAGTTTGAAATTGCCGATCCAGTGTATCTAATTGAATGCTTTGTTACATCCAAGCTCTTCTTCGCAGCAATCCAAGCAACCCATATGAATCCAACCCATCCTGGAAACAAATCATAACAAAACACAAAAGTCATATATGAAGAAATCTTCAAAATTAAGTACTCATTTGATTTTTGAATGATGCTTCTATTATTTTGATGGAAGGAAAAATATGTTAATGCTACTTGAAATTCGTTGCATGACAATCAATGCAAGATACGCATCAACTTACAGTGCTCCAGTTGTTTTGTTACAGCTCCTTCATTACACTTCAAATCTTTTGAGTTGTATTTGGGCCCATGCCCCATGTGGGGTCGGCTATATGAATCTTTTTTCTCCATTGTGTCCTATTTAGAGTCGAATTTTCATTTAAACCACATAAAAAAGGTCATTTTTAATACTTACTAACCAAGACTTTGTAAGTCTACCTCCACCTTTCTTAACAAAGGTTGAATCTACTACATCTACTCTCCTAACAGGATCATCAGAAGGCCGACGTTTTAAGTAACGAAACCATCTAAGGCAACTCTTTCTTCTTAACTTATCTGTCACTTAAACTACTCCAACCTTTTCACGTGTATACTCGTCATGCATTCTGCCTCTAAGCATAAAACTACTCATCCACTCAAGCATTCTCATCTCTGAAACACTTAATTTTATGCTTCTCTTTTAACGGCCAACATTTTGCGCTATAAAGTATTGTAGGTCTCACCACCATCTTGTAAAATTTCTTTTAAAGTTTGAAGGGTACTTTCCAATCATACAACAAACCCGACTCATTCCTCCACTTCAACCATCCAATTTAAATTCTACTAGTAATATCTCATCTATTTCACCATCGTTTTGAACAATATACACAAGATATCTAAGACATGCACTCTTTTTAATAACTTGATCACCAGTATCATAATTTCACCACTAGATCTATTACTACTAAAATTGCGCTCATCTTCATTTGGGAAAAAAAGAATATCATGATTTAAATTAAAAACAAAATCTTCACAATTTCTTTTTCAGTTAAAATCCAACCTGACTGGCCATTAATTGAAGATTTCCAGAGGTGAAAACTTATCAAACATAGATTTTTATATATTTTGGAACATGGAGAAGGACGAATTAAAAAAAAAAAAGACAAAAATGCATAAAGTAAATAAAAAATGTATGATAACACCGCAATAAGATATTACATAGACTTAATCAAATCGGAATTTATAACAATGATATTGAAGATAACCTCCACAAACAATCCTCTGCCATTAAAGTTCTCTTTCTTGAAAGTCATTAAAAATTTTTCAGAACTTAGCCAAGTTTCATTCATACCAAATCATTATTACATAAGCCAACATATGGGTATCATAAGCAAGCGGGACTGTGATGCCTAGTTCAAAAAATTCTTACAAAAGCAACTCATAGAACACGTCACAATTTGAGATGATTGTTTTAGATAATCCATGCAACCACATCAGAAGTCTCTAGTAAGATGAAATAAGGTGACTAATCCTATAGAAATGGTTTACACTACAATAATGGAGTTATACCTATGCACCAAAAAAAGCAAGCATAAAACAGAATTCATAATCAAATCCTTCCGTGGATTATATGGGATAATTTTTAGTGTTTTGTTTCATGCCCTTTTTTAGTTGACATGTACAAAATAATACAATAACATATTTCTTAGAACTAGGCTAATAAAATCAATCTTCCGGCAAGACTATAGTCATATCATATCCAAAGAGTCCAGCCTCTCCTTCGGCATGCAATTCTTTAATAAGAAAATCTAGAAGTGAAGAATCAAGGATGCTAAAAGCAAGTACCTCATGATAAGATCTTGCACCAAGTAGTTGCTGCTAAGTTTCTAAAATAGATCTAGCCAAAGTCTTGACGATACTACCTTGTCAAATCTAAATATAGATGATAAAAGGGAGTACATATTAAGAAAATTGGCCACTTTGCTCTCAACACCAACCTTATGCCTGAGGAGCAAGGTACACTCTTAAAGTTGTACATACCTAGCATGCAGAAACTCAATTTATTCTTTAACATTCAAATATTTAAGGCCTTGTGATCTAAAATTAGAAAGCACAAACTCCCTGAATAAATGATAATGATATCAATATTGAAGTGTTGCACCACAGCATAAACAGGTCATATGTAAAGTAATATTGATTCGTCTCATTCAACTTCTTATTTAATTAAGCAACTAGATGTCTCTCCTATTGAATTTGAACAATTTAAACACCTACAAGCTAGTCAAAAGCCCCTTCATTTTGGCGTAGGCTCCCACTACAATTGGAGTTGACCTATATTTAGCCCTTTTTAGGCATTGGCTTATAGGAGCAATTATAGTGCTAAAGACCTGGATAAACCTTTGGTGAACGGTGTCAATTCTGTGAAAGTTACGAAAGTCGTGGACATAGATTGGGACTAGCTATTTACTAATAGCTTTAATCTTCTTGAGATCAAAGGAGATGCCTTCAGTCGAAACAACAAAGCCAAGGAAAACAATGAAAATCATAATGAATGAGCATTATTTCATTCGTGTATAGAGTTTTTTGCAATGAAGATTCTAAAAAACTAGACAAACATGTATGACATGATCAGGGCGAGTTTGACAGAAGAGAATATTATCAAAATAAATGATGAGGAAATGAATGATATAAGATCAAAATATGTGCGTCGTGACACATAAAATACATGGGGTGTTGGTAAACCAAAGGGCATGACAAACATTTTTGTAAAAATCAAACTTCATTTTAGAAGGAGTCTTTCATTCATCACCTTCATGTATCAAAATTTGGTGATATTCGCACATAAGATCGATCATTAAAAAAACTTAGCCCCAACATGTCTTTAAATTATGTATAAGAATCATATACTTGACAAGGACTTTATTATTGGTATGACTATCAATACAAGTAAGCCATGAATCATCCTTCTTTGGGGTGAGAACGGCTTGAATAACACAACATACGTCCAAATGAAACTCTTTTGGAATAGCTAAACAACCTATTGCTTGAGCTTGGCATTTTCATCATGATTCACCCAATAGCGAGGAAAAGTGGAAGAGTAGATCTAGAAATAAGGTTTATAACATATTCAAAGCTCCTCATTAGGGATCTCATTAAGACAAATCTCGTGAAATTAAAAAAAAAAATATCATTCACCTGGGCTGGGGAGTTCACTCGACAATGGGCTAATAATCCATCATGCTTAAAACAACAAATGCATGGAGCTATGTTCGGTACTATATTCTAATTTTCAATGGCTAGTAATATAAGTGGGCTTTTTTATTTTAAGGGACTAGCAACTCCCAAATTTAATGTGTGGAGAACTCCTTTTGCCAATACACAACACAAGATAGTTAAACAAGACCTATCCTTTGCTCCATGAGTGTTACCAATACCACAAGGGTCAAAATCCACATGTCCTCCCCTTGATCATTGAGCTAATCACGGTTTGGAGAATTGATGTAGCCTTTGTTACCACATGTGCAATATATATGAATGATTCTTTGGAATCAAAGGTTTCAACAATGCCCTTTTCCTTAATAGCAGATGACAAGTTGAGTTGGTTTAAACTACGACCTATTTAAAGGAGGTAAATGATTTCCTGTGAGGTAGAACCCTATAGTGCTGCTCTATGTTGCACGGATACTCCTATTTACGAGGCGTGCTGTATCAGACACATGTCGGATACGGATACGCCTCCGATACGGCACGGATACGTGTCGGATACGGCTTTGCCGTATCCAATTAAAATACTATTTAAATTTGACTGGACACGCGTATCGGATACGCGTGTCCTATTAAAAAAAACACTAAGCCGCAATTTACCCTATTCTTTTCGGCTTTCCACCGTTTCTGCTCAATATCCATATTCATTTATGCGGCTGAAACATTTCAAAGAGCTAGGTTTTTCGTTTCCACACAAGTGTTCATTTTCTTCGTTATAGTTGAAGGAGCGGCTCGATGACGCGAGCATAGAAGCAAACAGGATCATCCTTTGTCGACAAAGAGGCTTGACGACGCGAGCATTAAAGTCGATAGGATCATCCTTCGTCGACGGAGCGGCTCGACAAAGCGAATAGTGAAGGCGACGTGAGCAGTGAAGGTTCGTTTTCCTCGTCGTTCTTCGTTTTCTTAATCATAGGCTCGGTATCGAGCCGCTCGGTATCACTTGGTACCGAACAGTACTGGAACTCAGTATTGCTCGGTACTGCTCGATACCGAGCGATACTGGAACTTGGTACCGCTCAGTATTGGAACTCAGTACTGCTCGGTACTGTAACTCGGTATTGCTCGGTACTACTCGGTACCGAGCGGTATTGGAACTCAGTACTGGTCAGTATTGGAACTCGGTACTACTCGGTATTGGAACTCGGTACCGCTCAGTATTGGAACTCAGTATCGCTCGGTATTGCTCGGTACCGCTCGGTATTGCTCGGTACCACTCGGTATCGCTAGGTATAGAGGGGTACCGAATGGTACCAAGCGGCACCGAGAAGCTCGGTACCGCTCGGTATCTTTTCATTAAAAACAACTTTAAAAATAAACAGCACTTCAAAATTACTCTTACAAAAAAATTTGTTTTGGGGGTGCTGCCCCCTAAAATTTGTTTGTCGAACCCCGCCAAGGGGCCCCTTGGACCCCTGGCAGAGTCGCAACATATCTACACTTTCACTTAAATTTTTTCATGTTTCATTCATATGTTTTAATTTGTATAAATCCTTTGTAGGATAATAAGCTCTAGTGGAGTAGGAATTGGTTCTGATGATGGTCCATCAGAAATCAATATTGAAGATAACAAACCTCTATGGAGTTATGTTACAAAAATAGGTAAAACATCAGATGGGGAAGGCAATATTGCATTCAAATGCAATTTTTGTAATGCAACATACAAAGGATCATATTATAGAGTGAAAGCTCATTTGTTGAAGATTAGTGGTCATGGAATTAAAGTTTGCCCAAAGATAAGCTCATCACAAATGGCTGAATTACAAAGAAAAATCAGTGAAGCTGAGCAAAGGAGTAAAAAAGAGCACATACTCATTCATCCAATCAA